TCCGAGCCAGGCCGACTGGGACGGGGAGTGGGAGTGGGGTGTGTGCGGATGGGGGTGGGAGGGAGGCCCCGCCTGGCTCCCTTTCCCCCACTCTCACTCCAGGCCCCCAACACATTCCTCCCGAGGGGATGCACGGCAGAGTGGAAGAAGTTAAACAAGGTGAAGGAGCTGGGCGAGGGGGATGGGACACAGTGAAGGGGGGAAGGCGGAGGGGACGAAAGAGAAAGTGTGAGCGCGGGGGCGGGAGGGGGGTGGTGAGCAGAGAGAGACAGAACATCCTGTGCCCGTCGCCGGATACAGCGCTGGAGGGAGGAGGGGGCGCGGAGGCGGAGGTAGACAGAAACGGGGGGGTGGCGGCGACTGAGAGATGGAGGGGGCAGGGGGGCCGCGGCCACTCCGGGCTGGGAGGGGAAGGCGGGCGGCCGCGGAGATGCCCCTCCAAGGCCGCCCCCCGCCCCCCCCCCCGCCCCCCACTGCACACCACGCCCTGCGCTCTGCGCTCTGCGCTCTGCGCTCTTGGAGGCTCCTACCCCCACCTCTGCGCTGGCTCCCCCATCCCCTGCAGCTCACAGTCCGTAGCTGCTTCCTCCCGGTTTCCCCATCCTGCCGCCTCCCTCCTTTGAAAGGAGAAAAAGCTAGAAGGCAGGCTCCAAAGCCTGGGCTCCCTGGCAAAGGGGGTTGTTGAGTTGAAGGGCATGTGCCAGCTGGTAATCTGGCTCTGCTGCTTAATTACTCCAGACCTTGGGCGAGTCTCAGTTTCCTCATCTGTAAAAGGAGGCAGTTAGACTAGATGACCTCCTGGGTCTCTTTCAGCTTTAGAACTCTGATCTTTGATACCTGAGGCTGAACTGGAGTATGCCATTGTACCCATTCCATAGATGAAACTAAGTTTTAGCAAAATTAAGCAGCTTTCAAAGACTGACAGGGTAGTAGTAAGCTTTGGAGGTCGATTGCAGCCCAGGTCTTCTGACTCCACTATCCCAACCAATAAATTGGTTACTTCTCCCTAACTTTATTGTACTCTGGCCCCAGTGGATTTCAGTCGCCATAATACCTAGTACAATGCCTTGCCATCTGTCAAAATCTGTTGATTCGTTGATTAACTGAATCGGACAGCTAGCTGCCAGAGATAATTATGAAAATATGGGGTTTGGAGATTGGATTTGGGTTAAGGCACAGGGAATACAGAAAAGGATGTCACAGACAAAGAGGGTCATAATCTAGATATGTGCTGGTGGGGCTGTTCTGTTCAAAAGAAAACAGACCCAATTAGGCTTTATGGGAGCCTAATTTGGAGGAGTGTGTGATTACTTTTCTGTCCGGCTGAGTTGCCTTAGAATCTTACAGTTCGAGTTCTTCTTCTGAGCTCCCCAGTGTTAAAGGTATATAGGGTTCTGAGCAGAGGCATGGACATGACCCAATAAAAAGAGATGGGTTCAGAGAAGAGAAGACTCACAGGAGCCTTGGGGAGCTGAATGCTATAAAGAGTCTTCCAGTCAGGGACGTTCCTGAAGGGGGAGGACTCCCACCACACAGCAAATTCTAACTTTATGCAGCAGTAGTCTACTGAAAAGAATTCTGAATTTGGGGTTAGAGAGCCTGGGTTCTAATCTTGCTTCCAATTCAATCTGTCAACAAGCATTTATTAAGCATTTTTTGTTGTTGTGTGTTGTGTACCAGGTACTAGCTATCTGACTTTGCCTAAATTACTTCACCTTCCTGGGTGTCAGTTTCCTCCTCTGTAAAATGGATGTAATAATACTGGCTTCCTACCTCATAAGGCTGTCATGGGAAAAATGCTTTGATTATATTGGAAATGCAAACTATTAGACAAATGAAGTTTGGTTAAAATGAAGATGAAGGGGAAACAAAGTCCCATAAGAATATCCTGAAGGGATAAAAAAAATATCCTTCCTTTTACTCTGGTGATGTGGAGGGGGTGGAAACCGTGGGGTTTATGGGGGTAATTGCTGATAAATATTTATATGGGCCTTAGGCATTTGCCCCTTTTCCCTCACTGGCTACTTCCCAGAATCTCTGCCTAGTGGTTAGCCAAAAGGAAAAAAAAAGTGGGGGGCAGGGGAGGGAGAAGTGGGTGGGAATGTGGGAATCACAAGGACATTGGGGTGTAGGGTGGAGGAGACAGAACTGGACTGCATTTGAAAATTTCAGGAACAGTGTGTTACTGTCCACCCGAGGCTCTGAGCCTCCCTTGTAACACATAAGACTTTAAAGCTCTTCACAGTCTGGCTCCAGCCTACCTTTCCAGGCTTATTGCATATTATTCCCCTTCATGGACGCTATGTTCCAGCCAAATTGGCCTACATTCTGTTCCCTGAACTTGGCAGTCCATTCCCCCCCCCCCATGACTTTGCACAGACTGTCCCCCTGGCCTGGAATGCCCTCCGTCTTCACTTCAGGCCCCCAGAATCTCTAACCAACTTCAAGGCTCAGCTCAGGTGCTGTCTTCCATGGGGGACCTTTCTTGATCCCCCCTAGTGCTACTGCTCCTTCCCTCAAGTCCTCATCTGTTTTGAAGTGCCCATGCAGAGTAGCAGAGTGGAATATATTCTAGACTTGGTGACAGAGGACTTGCATTCAGGTCCTACTTGTCATCTGTGTGACCTTGGGTAGATCACTTCCCTCTAAGCCTCAGTTTTCTTGTCTGTGTAATGAGGGAATTGGACCAGATGGCCTCTAAGGTCCCCTGCCAGTTTATAATCTGTGATCCTGTGTTGTTCCTCCCTGGTAGAACATGAGCTCCTTGAGGGCAGGGGAGATTTTTAATTTTGATTTTCTGTCTCCTGTCTAGGGGCAGCTAGGTGGCACAGGTAGATAGAGTGCTGAGGCCTGGAGTCAGAAAGACTCATCTCCCCAAGTTCAAATCCAGCCTCTGACACTCACTAGCTGTGTGACCCTGGGCAAGTCACTTAACCCTGTTTGCCTCAGTTTCCTCATCTGTAAAATGATCTGGAGAAGGAAGGAAATGGCAAACCACTCCACTGTCTCTGCCAAGAAAACCCAAAATGGTGTCATGAAGAGTCAGACACTATTGAAATGACTGAACAACAGAACAATCTTTGTCTAACAAGTGTCTTACACAATAGTAGGTACTTAATAAATGTTTGTTGGGTTGGACTTGAAGTGAGAGTGAGATCTCCTGGAGATTTTTTCATTCTTTACTGGATGGCAGTGAGAACTATGTTGGAAGACTGGGGCTTACTTGACTCAGTCCAGTCAGTGTGGTCTATCCCACTGGTTTACAACTGCTAACGACTGGTTTGACCTTGGGCAGGCCACTGAACCTTGGTATTGTAGTGAAGAGAGTGGTAGACCTGGAATTAGGAAGAGCTGAATTCAAATTTCAGATGCTTCCTAATTGTGTAACCCTGGGCAAGTCACCTAACCTCTCTTAACCTCGGTTTTTCTTATCTGTAAAATGGGGATAATAGCCCCTACCTCACAGTGTTGTTGTGAGGATAACATGCACAATACTTTGCAAATCTATTGTTGTTATTCAGTTCTCTTCCACTCTTCTTGACCCCATTAGGGTTTGTTTGTTTGTTTGTTTCCTTTTGACAAAGATACTGGAGTGGTTTGTCATTTCCTTCCCCAGTTCATTTACACATGAGGAGAGTGAGGCAAACAGGGTTAAGTGATTTGCCCAGGGTCACACAACTCGTAAGTGTCTTGAGGCTGGATTTGAACTCAGTTCTTCCTGACTCCAAGCCTGGCTCTCTTATCTGCTGTGCCACCTAGATGCTCTTGCAAACCTATGTAAATCATAGCTCTGTTTAACCTCTTCGGACCTCAGTGTCTTTTTCTCTATAATTGAGAGGGTTGGACTAAAGGACCTGCCCTCAATCTCTGCTCCTGTGATCACTCTCTCCTCCACCCTCCCTCGACAGCCTCCATGTAGGCGGTTGGAGCTTGGGTTAGGGATGCTCAGAGCTGCTCGTTTCCCCCCTCATATTGCCCTAACGGGAGAGACTGGCTCAAGTTTAAATTGGTGGCCCTCAGACCGAACTTTACCCAGTGCTCCTCAGCCAACGCTTCCCTCTCTTCCTCTCCCCTTCCTAAACACTCTGGGAGAGATCCTCTTCTTCCACTGTGCCACAGTGGCGGGCTGGGGAGGGGAGAAGGGAAGGACAACACGGAAAGACTAGAAGTGAAGAAACCCAGGAGTGGCCCTGGGGGCTCCCTCCCTGCGTCATGCCCGCGGTTTGTCTCCCCCCCCCCCCACCCCCGCCTGGGTGGATCTCCTGGGTTTGAGTAGCCGATGGGGTTCTGCTGCCCTCTAATGGCAGTGGATGGGCAAGAATGACCTGGCTAAGGCCCTATCAGCTTCTCAAAGGAAGAGATTGATACCAGGACCTGGAGCTGGGAAGACCCCTGATAGAGATTATCTACTTTACATCCCTTATTTTACAGAGAAGGAAACTGAGGTCCTGGAAAGGGAAAATACTTGCCCAGGATCATACAAGTGGGAGTCAGTATGTGTCTTTAAGATTTCCATGGGTCTATCTGGTCCTCTGGATCCTAGCTGACCCCACTACTCCTCTCCTTTACCCCTGGCCCGTGGTTCCCCCCACTTTGTCATAGCCCTTTTGTTTCCCTCATCTCTATGCCCAGATTTCTTGCCCACTCAGTGAGGGGGGAGGCAGAGTCCCTCCCTTAGTTCCCTTTGTTTCCTGAATTCCAGGTTCTGATTTTGGCTCCCTGAGTTCTGGGTTTCACTGGAGGTTCCAATTCCGGAAGCTTCTGCCTGGGGTGCCTGGGGTCCAAGCTCCCCACCTGAGGGGGAGCTGGGAAGCATGGATTTCAAGGACTTTAGACTCCGAAAGGGTGTGGTGGGCCTGGCCACAGGGGCAGGTGCCATCTACCTGCTCTACAAGGCCATCAAGGCTGGCATGAGCAGTCGTTCATCCTGCCCAACATCACCCGTCTGCATTGCCCGTGAGTTCTCAGGGCTCCTGGGAGAGGGCTCTGTCCTAAGGGGAATCTTCAAACACAACAGAGGGAGGTCCCCAAGGTGACTCCTCCAAGCTCCCGTCTTCTCCCTCTCTCTCCTCTCCTCTTCTCTGCTGGTATCTGCCCTGCAGCCCCTTAGGCACCAGTTGTCATAGAAAGGGCTGGGCAGGGGTCCCCAACTAGAGCCAAATCAACCGGGAGATCTCAAAGCATGACCTGGTAGGTCTCCAAACTGGTTGCCACCTACTAGATGCCGCCCTGCCCCTCTGCCTAGTTTGAGCTTTAGTGAGATTTCCGATGGAGAGTGGATTAAATTTGGCATCAGCAACTGTTCAGGAACCTCTCCGCTTGCACCCTCACCTATTTGGGGCAGACATTGAAGAGGAGCTTCCTTTACCAGAAAAGCCAGGGCTTCCCCCACTCTGCTCAGATCCCAGGTGTACGCCCCCTTCCTTGCTCACTATTCACTCCCTCACTCATCCTAAGGCCTGGGGTTGGGGGTGGGGCGGGGGCTGCCTAGGCCTGGCCATTGAGCGAGAGAGGCATGGAAAGGACTCTGGAGAGCTTCGAAGGCTCCTCAACTCACTGGAAAACAAACAGGATGAGTACTCCAAGGGCATGATTCTTCACAGCATCACCCGGTGTGTCTACTTGTTGGAAGCTGAAGTGAGGAGCGGCCCAGGGAGGGGATGGGCAGAGGGAGAGAGAAGGAGGGAGGGAGAAAGCTCTCAATCCAGCTGTCTGGGAGTGGGTGGGGCCAGGATCCTGAGTGGCCCCTGACGTTCTGGCTGTTGGACTGATACCAACTGGGACCACATCCCAGGAAACCGAGGTGATGGGGGCGGAGGTTAAGAACCACAAGAACCCTCCCTTCCCTTTGAGTGGTGGGAGATGAGGGGCAGGGGTCCATTTTTGTTCCTAGTCTTTGTGTTAGGGGAGGGAGTGGCTATTGTGGGTGCTCTTTTCTCCCCTCCTTCTTCCATGTCCCTCCCACCTTTGACCCCCCACAGGCCTGTACCTGCACCTTTGAGGACATCAGGTTGGTGGGCTGCCTGCTTGATGACAAGGACAACGGTGTCAAAATCCAAGCTCTCAATGCTCTGAAGGCTTTCTCTGGTATAAGGAAGTTCAGGCTTAAGATTCAGGTGAACCCAGGGGCAAGTGATAAAGGGGCAATCTTGGGGAGGATGAGGAAGGCAAGAGAGGCTTTAAATCTTCTGAAAGCTTGGATGCCTGGCTTGTTTAAACACTACAGATATATACGGGGAGTCTACCCCTTTACCTGTAGTAAAAAGCTTTGTAGCCCTAATAAAAGCTCTTGAGTTCCCTAGGCCCTGGAACCTGGGCTTAAGGCTGGTCAGAGTCTCCTATGGCAACATTCAGGGAGGACGGATAAGGACCATCATGATGGGGATGGTGACTTTGCTGGTGGGGATGGTGGGCTGGGTGAGGGCTCCAAATGGCAGCATGGATGGTGAGGGTAGATTGGCAACAGGATTGGGGGCCTGGGAGTGGTTCCAGACGTATGGATGAGTCATGCTTAAGTCAAGCATTTTTAACCGTCTCCAGGGTATTAAGTTCAGCTCCACAAGTGTTTTTTCCAGCCTGCATGTATGCTTAGCATTGTGTGAGGGCCTGTGAAAAACATAAAGGAAATCTAAGACACTGTTTTTTTGCTAAGAGCACTTGAGAGAGACGGGATATAAGCTAATGAAACAGAGAACAATAAATATGAAGCCCTGGATAAGTGGTCTTCAATATTTTGCAGTATTGTAGAAATCTTTCACATGCCCTACTCGTGACCGTTCGGTTCGGTCGTTTCAGTTGTGTCCAACTCTTGGTGACCCTGGTTGGGGTTTTCTTGGCAAAGATGCTAGAGTGTTTGCCATTTCCTTCTCTATCTCATTTTACAGATGAGGAAACTGAGGCAAACAGAGTTAAGTGACTCACACAAGGTCACACAGTAAGTGTATGAGGTCGGATTTGAACTCAGGAAGATAAGACTTCCTGACTCTAGGCTTAGCACTCTACCCACTGAGCCATCGAGCTGCCCTCCCCATTATAGTGGTATCCATTAATTGAGAAAATACTTAATGGCAAAAAGATACTCTAGATTCAGTAATGAGACCATCAAGTCAGACTCCCTTATTTTATAGATGAGGAGACTGAGCCCCAGAGAGGTTAAATGACATATATGTTTAGAACTGGTAGGGACCTTAGTACAGATGAGGAAACTGAGACCTTAACATCAGCAGTTTAAGTAACTTGCCCAAGGTCACACAACCAGTAAGTAGCCCAGCTAGAATTCAAATCTATTTTCTCTTGATTACAAAGAGAAATTGTGCCGCAATTATGGCACTTGCCATTATACCACGCCTGCCTCTCAGTACTTCTAAATTAATTTGAATTTTACTTATCACAGCAATCTCTACATGTGGTGGAAAACGTCCATGCATTTTTTTGTTGTTCAATTGTCTCAGTTGTCTCTGACTCTGTGACCCTATTTGGGGTTTTCTTGGCAAAGATACTGGAGCAGTTTTCCATATCCTTCTCCAGATCATTTGACAGATGAGGAAACTGGGCAAACACAAGCAGTTGTGACTTGTCCAGGGTTACACAGCTACTTAGTGTCTGAGGCCATATTTGAACTCAGGAAAATGAGTCTCCCAGACTGCAGGCCTAGGCACTCTATCCGTTGCGCCACCTGGCTGCCATAAATACATGTGTTTATGTATTATTTACTCAATCTGCAAAAGGTATGTTTGCTTATTTATCATTCTAAGGCACAGGGTATGCTTTCTGGACATTAAAATAAGTCCAAAATATCAAAACATAGGAATTACCTGACCCATTGCAAAAATTCCAAGGCCCTTACAGGGCTTCTGCTGACAGGTTGGGAACCAGAATGCTCTTATTTAAATGCCGGTTGAATGATTGGTACAGATTGTGTGTGGTTGGGAAGTTCAGAGAAGAATCAGATCAGAATGGGGTTGGTGTACGTACTAGAGGGAGGCTTGGTGGATGTGGGTAAGAACTTGAAGGGATGGGACAGCTAGGTGGCGCAGTGGATAGAACGTGGAAGGCTTAGAGCATGGATAGGCCCAGGAGTCAGGAAGACCTGAGTTCAAATTTGCCCTCAGACACGTAACGCTCACTAGTTGTGTGACCCTGGGCAAGTCACTTACCCCCAATTGCCTCACCCAAAGAACAAAAACAAAAACAAAACAAAAAAAGAACTTGAAGGGATGGTTAAGACTTGGACAAGCAGAGGGGGTAGGAAGGAAACATTCGGGGAGTAGGGGACTGAACAAAGTCACAGAATGTCTGAGCTGGAAGGGACTTTCAGGGCCATCTACTCCAGTCCCTTCATTATGTGTGAGGAAGCTGAGGCAAATGTTACCATTGATTTGGCTAAGGACACTCAGTGAATTAGTGTCAAAGTCAGGATTGGAACCCAGCTATTTTGATGCCTAGAACTGTGTAAGAGAGGTATATGTTTAGGGAGGATGAATAAGGGCCGCCATGATAGGGCTGGTGACTTTGCTGGTGGAGATGGAGAGGTGGGTGAGAGCTCCAAAGGGCAGCACCTACATACATCGAAAGGTATGTGTCAAGAACTAATAGGGAGAGCGTGCCAAGCCTGGAGGCAGGAAGCCTAATCTTTTTTTTATTATTTGATTTTTATTTTTTAGAGGAAGCCAATATCTCGTTAAGGTTTCAGTAAACTTCCATAGTGGGAACATGTAAATGAAATAAAATTTACACTGACCTTAGACTACCACCCTAAGCCATTACAATAGTTTACTAATGATCATTGGCAAGAGGGTGACTCAGTAAAATAACTTCATCCAGCAGTATAATGAAAACATTTTCAGGAGTACTGAATATATCTCTCTATATTTTCACACAGTCAGGGAGCAAGGCACATTATGAAGTAAGAACATATAGTTATGCAAAAGACAAGACAAAAAATTGAATTTAATTACATCCTTATTGAATTGTGCATATTCTTTTGTATGTTGGGTACTTTATAATGAAGTTCCTTTTGGCCTCCCATGTTTAAAAAAGTATATGTATACATATTATGTGTGTATACATGTATATGTATATGTGTATAGATAGATAGATAGATAGATAGATAGATATGGCAAAGCTCTCCCA